TGTGCAGCTGTGGTACATGGGTGTTGGTCAGTAGACAATCTTTGCTGTCAGGTCCAAGCCTTCCATTTTTTTTTTTAATACAGGCTCTTTTATTTACTTCATGTCTCAGACTAGCCCATGAGCATCTCAGGGTTCTCAGTCTTTGCCACCCCTCTTACTGTGGCATATTGGGATTACAGATGTGTGCTACTGCATCCAACTTTATGTGTGTTCTGGGGATCCAAACACTGGTCCCTCATACTTGCATAGCAAATTCTTTATCTACTGAGCCATCTCCCCTGCCTATTTTAAATACTTTATTAATTTTCTGAGACAGGGTCCCACAGGGTCTCACTATGTAGTCTGGCTGTGTGGAACTCACAGAGATCTGCCTGCCTCTGTCTCCCAAGTGCTGGTATTAAAGGTGCGTTCCACCATATGCAGCTAGGCTAGCATTTTATAATAGCAACCTAACTAATATGTTTTGTTCAGATACTCAGATGTATTAAAAAAGAACATTTCAAGGCTGAGCATGGTGGCGTACACCTTTAATCTCAGTGCTCAGGAGGCAAAGGCAGGCGGATCTCTATGAGTTCAAGGCCAGCCTGGTCTACAAAGTGAGTTCCAGGACAGCCAGGGCTGTCAACCCTGTCTTGTAAAACCAAACCAAACCAAACCAAAAATTTCAAGGATTCAAAATGGCCAAGTAACAATGTACACTCTTTGGAGTCAAACACGGGGTTACAGGTGTTAAATGTGGCTTAATCATTGGAATTTTGAAAAAGCTCAAAGGGAGTGGTCAGGTATGTATAAGCTCACTTTACTTTACATTGGTTTCTGCTCAATCCTGTACCTTAAAGAGGTCTCCCCAAGTACTCTATGCAGACTTGTCTCTAGGACTTACTTTGTATCTTCCTACTCTGCTTTATTTTTCTTCATAGTATTAAGCCTACATGGTATTATATTAACAACTATTTATTTAAGGAAACATTTTAAAGTAAGTCCCACAATGAGAGGGATTTGAGTAGTTCAGCCTTGGGTAGCTCCAGGACCAAAGCAACATTGACAAATGTTTCAAAGTCATCCAATAGGTTTAGTTATACCATTAACTGTTGATCTTTATTTATTTATTTGTGAGTGTGTCTGTCTGTCTTAAGTTCACAAGTAATCATGAAAGCCAGAAAAGGATGTTGTTTGCCCTGGAATTGGGAGTTGTATGTTGTGAGCCAGTAGGTGTTGTTGGGAACCGAACTTACATCCTAGAACAGCAGTGTTCTTATCTGCTGAGTCATCTCTATTGATCCCAAACTGTTGACCTTATGAAAAGAACATGTAGACGCTGATGCAAGTAAGATTCTCCCCTCTTCTCTCTCTCACACACAAATAAATAAAAATTAAAAAAAAGATGTGTGTGAGCATGGGCACAGATGCCATGGCATGTGAGTAAAGGCCAGAGGACAGCTTTCATGAGTTACTTCTCCACTGTGGATTCTGGGAATTGAACCCAGGTTGTCAAGTGTTTTTGCCTACTGAGCCATTTCTCCATCCTGACATGACATATTTCCAAAGTTCATTCTTTTGCATATACTTTGCTTCATGTAGAAATGCATTTTGGGTCACAATGCTTATTTGTCTATATTACAATAACATAATAAAAGTTTTTTTAGGTGCTGAAGCGTGAACCTGGTGCTGGACACAAAGTATTTTAGCTGTATCCTTAACATTAAGAAAAAATGATTTGAAGGCTGCTGTCAATGAGCTTTACCTCAGTTTCTAAGTTAGGATCATGTATACATCCCCAAGCATTAAAAAAGCCTCCAAATGATTCATAATGTACTGAATATGCCTTATTTGAGGCAACCTGGGATGAAATGCTTTGTTATTAAGAATGGAATCAAAACTTAAACAATACAAAATTACACAACAGGATATTCATAAAGAGATGTGCAATAGTTGACTATCAGGTATAGAAAACCCAAGATACAATATAATACTGTTTCTTGTACCTCATGAAAGTTACACAATTCAGTGTGTGAGTTGCAATTAGACTGCACTGAGTTTTGAATTAAAGACAGTAGACAAGTACATATCTAGAGGAACTATCTTTTTACCATTGAGAGGTCAGATTACTGTAATAACCTGATGTTATAATTGCTACCTGGAACCAAGCAAGTGTAAAATAGTTCATTGACAAAAAACCTTACCTTTCATTCCAGCTCTCTTTGTATCATCAATGGTTAAAAGTATTTCCATTGCACTCTGAGCATGATCAGATAACTTTTCTTCACCTTCTGGCCAAGGGATATCTACAAATACAAATATACAAGTAAAAATGTTCGATTTTCCTTTGGGGATCCACACTTGAGTATGTCTTACTTTCTGCAAACCTTGGAGAAGGTGACACCCATAATCTGGGTGTATTTTTCTTTGAGTGCCTCCTTTTCTAATACCCCTCTGAATCCATACTTAACTTTATATTAAAATACTTTTATTAAAGAGGTTTGTTAATCATTCCCAACTATAAAGATAAATGAATTTTTGGTTCTATGGATGGTTTTAAGGGTCTTGTGTATGCTTGACAAGTGTTTACAACTGAGCTATATCCTCCAACCCCGAATCTATCTTAATAAAGAAAAAAATAAAAATCACCTCTTTTTAAAATATTCTGGAATACTTGTTGTGGAGTTTCATCATTAAAAGGGGGAATTCCAGTTAGAAATTCAAACAAGCAGACTCCAAGTGCCCACCAGTCTACTGCAGGACCTGGGATTTAAGAGGAGATGAGCTGAATTTGTAAGCATGTTATACAGATATTTCACAACTGAAACTTGAGTATACTGATGCTTGAGCAATCAAAACCTTCTTGATTTAGGACTTCCTTCTGTTTCCATACAGTATAAAACCCAAATTACCTTCAGTTATAGGCAATGGGTTAACCATTACCTTAGTTTTTAAAAGGCTTAAATTAGCAGTTGTTATAGATACTTAAAGACATTTCAAAGCCACTTTTTGATTGACTAACAACTTCTGATATTTCGAATATTTTATGAATTCTAAATCTTTAAAGTGCAACGAAGGAGTATATTTAACTTAAAGACTATTTTCTGACATAGACTTTTTTGTTTGTTTGTTTG